TTTTGATTTCCCATAGACGGATAGAGTTATCCCAACTACCAGAAGCTAATATATTTCCATCAGGAGAGAAACAAACTGACAAGATTCCATTACTATGACCATTTAATTTGGCTTTTTATTATCCTGTTTTGACATCCCATAGACGGATAGACTAATCACTACTACCAGAAGCTAATGTATTTCCATCAGGAGAGAAACAGACTGACAATATACCACCATTATGACCATCTAATTTGGCTTTTTATTATCCTGTCTTTACATCCCATAGACGGATAGAGTTATCATTACTACCAGAAGCTAATGTATTTCCATCAGGAGAGAAACAGACTGACCAAACATAACTACTATGACCATCCAACTTATTCAATTCATGGACTTTTATGTTCTTCCATTTACAATTGAACATTTAAGCTCCATTAAAATTAACTCCGCTAATATCAACATTCTCAAATTCTGATCCATTCAAATTACATCTTACAAAATTACCACCAATCAAAGATGTATTCTTGATCCGTATATTCTCAAATGATTGGTTCCTTATATCAACCTTCATGGCCACTAATAAACTAAGTCCATTTGATCCACATTGAGTAAAATTTACATCAAAGCTTGTGAGTAGTACTAAAAATTTCAAGAAATATGTGATCCCTTTGTTATCCTTTATCTTCTTGATCAGATCCGCTCTTTCCTTTTCATAAGTCTCAGAAGAATAGTCATTCTTACTAAATTTATGATCCTAAATATTCTTCAAGACATTTGTTATTTTCTTTACTTACTTCTTGATCTCCATTATATTCTCTTGATTGTTGTTTAAAGATTCCTAAAACTGTTGATTGTTTTTCTTCGACAGAAATCCAATAATGTCTGAAACTTTCTCTTATCTAATTATATTAAGAATCTTCTAATAGAGAGATTCATCTATATCCTGGATGTAGGTTAGCATCTCATAAAGATCTTCCTTCATTTAATATACTTCTTGTGATTCTTCTTCTTGATTAGGTGAAATTCTACAATAATAAATAAATACTTACTTAATTAATGATTGGATCTATTGGATTCCTTAGTTAGACTTCTCAATAAAAGCCTTTATATGTTGGTCCCACCAGCTCTTGGTCTTATCTAACTACTTCATATAAGAATTCTTCTCAACATTCCAATCATTTAAAGTTGATCCTTCTACAATGTTTACTAATTTTTCTATATCAGTGTAAGAGGATTCAGCTAGATTGGTGTTTTCATTAATGAGGTTAAAGTATGATTAGTTTTACTTTTCAATCCAATCATAAACTTATTTGATTGATTGTGACAACTCTTCCCAAATTGTCTTCATCATTAATTCGGTTTGAGTGAGCAATGCTTTAAATGCCACTCTCTATTTGGTAATCTCAGATGTCTCCTCAAGCTTAGAGTCTTTTAATTTCTATATAGCCCTTTATCTAAATAGTTAAATTGGGATGGTCAATTTCGAATCCACTCCATGTTCATATTGGCATACTACACAAAGTTTCCTTTAGCACTTATGAGGAGCTATACATATCGTAATGATGGGATTTTGAATATGATAAGTGCAATTCATTATTTTTAATAATGAATTTCTATTACTTTAACTTTAATTTATAAACTGCAAAATCGATAAAAGTATCTTGTGCATTTCTTTAAAATAGAATTTAGGACTTTGTATATATTTGGAATTGATTGTAGTAGATGTTAATTATGCTATTGTGAATTCATTTCAATACCTGCATTACTGGATTTTTTAATAATATAGAATATTTTTATTTTATATGACTATTTTAATTTATTAGATCATTTATTTTTCTTGTAAAACTTTTTATTTTCGGCTAATTGTATTAAGATTGAAATATGTCTAACTATTGTAATTAGGTTGTTGGATTTCTAGTTGTAGGGATATGTAAGATTGAAGATATTTTCCAAAACTTAGTATGACCCCTTAGATATAGGTTGTCACCTCTCATGAAAAG